TTTTTTTTTTTTTTTTTTTTTTTTTTTTTTTTTTTTTTTTTTTTAAGGAAACACTAAAAGTTAGTTTATTCCTAGCAAGGATAAAACTTTGGATTTTGTACATTGTTACATTTGGCAGTAGAAACTTTTCAGAGAGGTCACAGTGCAACAGGATGGTGTTTTCTGAGGCTGTCAGATCTCCCCATTGGAGTGAAAATGCTGCTGGGGTCTATGAGAGGAATGGAGCAAAGTGTTTCTCTGTGTCTCTCTGTGGGAATGGCCGTTCCAGGTCAGACTGAACATCCACACCATGAAGCGTAAACTTTAAGGAATTTAAAGATTTTAGAGAAGCTAAGATTTTAGTTAGAAATAAGCCTTACTAGAGTTAATTAAAATAATAATAATAAATGAGTAGGCCTTGATGAAGTTAGGAGTTAGTAGTTAACTAATAATTGATTGCTTGTCAGCACAATGTTTAATTAGCTGGGTTTATAATGAAGAATATAGAAACTGACAAAGAGCTTTTAGGAACATAAGACAATTGTGGGCCTCCTCTGTTCTGAAACCAATTGAAGACAAGGAATGGGAGTTCTGCCAAGAGTTCATTTGTCATATTTGCATTGAAAAGGTAGAAAGTTCAGAACGAGGAAGACTTCATTTACTTCCTCATTTTGGGACCCCTCCCCATGAAAGGGACCACCAGTCCATTTCAAGGGACAAACTACGCATGCCTAATAGCTTTTGGAGTGATTAGCATTCGAAGCAGGGAATAGGATGTACCAAAATTATGAATATGTATTTGTATTTTGGATATTCAATACTTGTATGGATAAAAAGACTCTGTAATCACCTGGAAGGTGCGGTGTGTATTTGGGAGCTGTCCCGCAAGCTGCCTGGCATCAAATAAACATACACTTTCTAACTTTAAACTGTTAGAGAGTTTTTGTCCGTCACAGTTGGATATTGGTACTAGATCAATATCCATATTTTTTTTAATAAATCAGCAAAGACTTAGTATTTCTGGAAGCTTTGCTCCAGATCAGCATCTCTCTGGGTGCTCCCACTGAATATGAGTGTCTGCACAGCATGGTGGGAATCCCAAGACAGCTGATTAATCAGGCAAGCTTTAAAGCTTTTAGACTGACCCTTCAGTAGTAACACCCTTCATGTTGGTGTTTAGCTGCCTAAAGCACTGTCACTCAGTGTCACTAGATACCTAATTAAAAGACAGCAGTCCTTACCAATCGTCCATTCAGTGCAAAGTATAACAGCAAAGAGCTGATCCTCTGTTCTTAGCATTGAGGAGAAAGTTCCACCTTCCTTCAGGCCTTGAAAGATCTAGCTCCTTTGCAGGTTGGCTGGGTTTCTAGACTGTTTTTAATTTACAGCATCCCTTGTGACTGCTTGCTTCAGGATCATTTTCCTAGGCCACAGCAAGCACCTTACCATGTTGGTTGGCTTCTGCTCCACACCCGTTTTTTGTTGCTTCGGTTTCTTCCCACTCACTTTGAGAAAAACTGCTTTTCTTAAAGCCAGAATAGTCTTTTTAGAACTCCTGGAGATTGTCCTTCTCCAGCAATTTACTGTCACTTTTTTGTTCTGTGGCCTGTTATCACACAGTGCCCATGTTTTCAAGGACCCTGCAGTTTCCCACACTGCAGCAATCCACCAAGATAAAGTAAGAGTTGGTGAGCTTCAGATCTCATAGCAAATTGTTAATCAGCCTGACAGGCTAGCCCGGGGCCTAGCAGAGTTAAGCTGAGGCCTGTTACTACCATGACAATTACCTTCATGGGCACATAAACACTTAGACTGTGTTACTTGTCTTACGCTTGAGTTCCAAACAACCCATTCCTGTGGTGTGCTTAGGTTCTTTTTCAGCCGCTCCAACCATCCACATACAGTTCCATGAGGGGGATCTCGTCAGTGGTCTGGCCTGTTCAGAACTGCAGCTAGTATTCAAAATGCAGGTTAGCTGTAAATGTATATTCAGTAGTATCACTATACCTTCCATTTGCTCTTGTTCCATTCCTAGAACTTTCAAACATTTCATACTGATTAAATTGCTCGTGAGTATTGAGTGTGTTTTCATGGGACTAAGAATTACACCACCAGGATTCTGCTTGGTGGCAGTCAGCTTAGAACCCATCCTCCTATATACAAATATATCTAACTATATATAGCTAGGATTGCCTTTCCCCATTGAGATCACAGTATGTTTATCTCAACTGAAGTTTTACCTGCAGCCTTGTTGTTTGGTATTGATTATTTTTTACTGTCCTTTTGCAGTTCTTTATCAAATTCACTAATAATTGCTATGAACAAGATAATTTCACCATTCTCTCCTTTGTTTCTGAAGACGCAATTGGAAACACAAACATGTACAGTTGTGCCTGAACAGTTGCCCATGTACCTTACTAATTTATGACTGGATTAAATTAAAACATTATTGCTAGATAGAACTCTGTTAGTACAGGAGGAAGCAGATATGATGATTAGATGTTTTGCTTCCTCTGAGTTCATACATGCAGATAAATACAGAGCAACATTTCTTGACATACATCACCTTGCAGAAGGACTGAATTAATTTAAATGTGAATGCTATATTGCAGTTTCTGGGGGGAAGGTAATTTTTATCTTGCTGCACATTTCAATCCTTTTTCTTGTAGATTCTTCTCAGTGATATCTTAGAAATTAAATGGCCTGACCCTGCAACAGCTGATCTGACAAGATGTTTAGACAACGGCAGTGTGAAGATCTCATCTGTAGATGGCTACGCTCACCTTTACTTGTCAGAATTGCAGCGAGAATTTACAGTGGAGTTCTTATGTAAAGTCAGCCAGTCATCTGCAGCATCCTCATGCTCCACTGAAAAGAACAGCAACTATCAAAGCAGAGATCAGTGTGGAAAACCAAGTAAAAATTCTGCAGCAGAAGTCTCATCACAACAAAGAAGAATAGAGAATAGGAATAAATGTGGTTGTGCTGAAGGTAGATATAGGGAACCAGCCAAACCAAAGGACCAAAGAGATGGAGTCCCTTTGTTCCACACAAATTGTTCTTCTGAATACGCATGGGTTACACAGCGTTGGGCTGTTTCCTTGTGCCCAGAAGAATGGAAACACCCTTTGTCCTTGGCCCTAAAATGCTGTAACTTGCATACTGTGGAAAATGTAATAAAGACAAACAGCTGTACAGCCCTTGAAGGTGATGTTTTAGTAGACCCTGAAACACATGAAACAGTTTCTTCTTTACCTACAGCTTTGCCACTCAGCTGCAGAGCTCCACATCTACACAGGTAATTTAAACTCTTTACTTTGTAGTTGTTAACATATGTTTTACAATTCTGCAGTTTGGAATTTCAACTTCTAGCAAAATAATTGAATCCTAACTATTAAAAAAAAGTTTAAAATTACTATTAGTTGTGGGTTTTTTAGGAACTTCTTGAAATACGACATTGTATAACCAACATTCTGTAAACTATTGTAATGAAGCTGTAGTAATTCGTTCAAATTAAAAAAAATATTTTCTGACATGCTGTATGAATATGTAAATGAAAAAGTGAATACTGAAAAAAGAACATGGGTTTTGTATTGGGATGGATTGGTTTTTCCTTCTCAGTTTTGAAAAGATAATATTTTTGAAGTGGGCCATTAGTATATGTTGTCTGTCAGCCACACTAAAAATAACCAAAAAAATTGTGGGATTGAGAAGTTTAATTTGGTAACTAAAGTGGATCACTAAGGAATTGGAGAGCTCTGAAAATGTGTCCATTTATCATTTGAATAAGGGTGCATGCATCAGTTCTACTTACAGAAAAGATAACCAGCAGACACAGTCACACAAAAGAACAACCAATATATGGACTTAGTGAGACTGTCATTGTATTTTACACACACAGGTGGACATTTTGTGACTTCTTTCAGAATGAAGATACGGATGACTATTCACTCCATCAGCTAATTCAAGTTGTGTGGTGCCAGGGTGTTTTCTACAGGTATGCAGGAAATCATCTGTGTTAACTGGAAGACTTTATTTGTATGGGAATTAAGATCTAAGATTAAATGTCTTACTTTGTTCCTTTCTCACTCCTTGAAAAATGGAACACAGTCTTCATGTCAGAGTCTGTTTCTTCTGTTTGTTCACTGGACTTCACATTTTCTAGCCCAGTATATTACGAGGCCTGAATCTCAAGTCATGTTTAAGTGATCTGATAATCTGATTTTTTAAAGGTTTACTGGACAGCTGGAGTCCCCACAGATTTCACTTAAAATAATGGTACTTAGTGTCTTTGCAAATTAGCTCTCTCCTTTTGTTGCTGAAGATTTCACAGTTTGGAAATGTTTATCTTGGTGACCTACATAATTCACATGTTCAGCTGTGGATTTTCCTGGCAAGTCACCTTGTCCATATGGTTAAGGAAAAATAAAAGGAAAAAACAACCAACAACACGACTTTCAAATTGAAATTGCTACAACTGCTATTAGCATCTAAAAGTCTTTCATAAAAGCATCACTGGTGTTTAGCCCTTTAATCTTTCTGCTGAGTGTTCTTAATTTTTCCTGAGTGTAATTCCTAAATCTTCATCTCATCTAACCAAAATGTTTAGCAGCACTTCAGAGTTTTTTTCAGAGCTTTTATTTTCAATTAAGACCTTTAGATTGTTCAGAAATTGTTCTATTCGGCAGTTTTTTGTGTACACAAGGTGTGGCTGGTCTACTAAGAAAGTTGGATTTTGTTTTCCAGGATCACTATGTTTCATGAGCAGCTCTTGAGAGGTGTTTACCTTGACACAACAACAAGCTTTCCTTAGCTTATTTAAATCCCACCCCCATGCACATGTGCAAACAAAGGGTCTAGTAATGTTAATATTCTATGTTAAAAGACATTATTGCTACATTCTACTGTTTGTGAAACAGTTGAAATTTTTCTCATTTGAGTTGCTGAAAATGTGTCTCTGTTTATTTGTTTAATAACCTGTTTTCCTTGTCCAGTGACACAGCATTTTAAATACTTGCTAAAAATCTTACTGTTTTTCTTAGATTTATCCATGATAGGACAAACATCACAGAAATTTATCCTGGTGATGACTCATTTTTCAAGTCAGAGGGAGCATTTTTGGGAAAATATTTCATGCATTATGCAATCCACAAAGGAACAAAAAAGGTATGAAACTACTTAAAAACTATAATTATTTAAAAGGATGTTCCAAATTTCTTCAAATTAGCAACTTTCTTAAGACATTTGGCTATGCAATGTGTAGTGAAGTCCCTTCACTGAAAATTACTATAATGCCTTAATCAAGCTACCAGTCATACAAAAAACATGAGATTATTCCTTCTGTTTCAGAAATTGTTTTTGTAAATTTTACACAATAAGAACATTCTTCCTTATTGTAACATTTATTTTATTAAACTCAAGAGTAAGATTCTAAAACAATTTCTCACTAATTTAGAAGTTTAGTCTTGAAGCTAATGTACTGATTAGAGTTTCATCTCTTTGTACTTGGAAGTGTTTTCTACTGTATGAAGACAAAACCTCAAAGATGCAGGTTTTGTTCTGGCTTTGCTGCAGACCAGCTGTTCAGTGCTGGAAAAGGAATTTTGCCTTTGTGCATATCTGTTGAGTTCCCCCAGAGGATATGTCCTCTCAAGCGCTAATGCAACACCTTGTATTTTTAAAGCAGAATTAAAGATTGGATTTGCACCCAGCCTTTAACTTGTAGTCAAACACTGCCACTCAGTAATGACCTGTAGTCTACTGTTTGACAAGAGAACTTCCTGGTTCTCACTGAGTGTAAAGAAACTGAATATTTGAGTATTTCTTCACACAGACGTAGGCTTAAGGATACAATTTTAAATCAGGTATTTGTCTGTGTTCTGTGGCAGATTTAAATGTGATTATAGTTGGATTATGGGAGGTTAGAAATTCCATAACTTGCTCTTAGTTCTGTTTTCATGCTATGGTACCTGTAAGTTATTCATCTTCTTTCTGTTCTTTACTTAGGTGGAAGAAAAGATGTATTCAGTGAGCAGCCTACCTCCAGATGTGCCAGGACGTCCATACTCTGTATCTTCCATTATTACCCTGGCAACCAAGTAACTTTACCTTTGTTACATTAATTCCTCTGACTTAGAAAGCACAAGAGTTAAAATTACACAAAACACTTATTATTTCTTTAAGTATAAAAATTAAAGGAAGCACTGAGGGCATATCTAAATTTTCAAAACAAAATTTGCAAGTGCTTAGAAGACATGGCAGGAATTAAATGCTTAATACTTTGTTTGGTTTTTTCTCTCCTCAGAATTCTTCAGTATTGCTGCAAAACAAAACTGTCATTAAGTCATAATTATTATCTCTGCTGCTGGAAAGTGGTATGTAGCTGAAAATTTATAGATCTTGCAGTGTTATAAGTTTGATCATACAGACTGTAGGGAATAGGACTTAATCTAGAGGAAAGAATGGTGAGTGTATCCTCACAGATCAGAAGGCAGATATTTGGGAACAAAAAGCATGGTTATATTTAAGAAGCAATTGCATGATGAAGGAAGCTGATTGTGATCTGGAAAAACAAGTGAATTAAAAATCTGGAACAGATACAGACAGTATCTGTAATGATGTAAATAGCCTTTCTTCAAGTTTTTAATATATTTGTTTGGTTTTAGGTATCTGAGACCGATGGACGAGAAATGCTGCCAGTTTTGATACATGAAAAGGTTTTTCCCAGCACAGGAAGACTGATTGTATACTCAGACCATAAAGTCCATGCTGTTTTTTGGGATAGGATAACCCTGACTATGATCTGGGACTTCAGCTCTTCCTGTAATGAGATCCAGGTAACATGTGACTTACAGGAAGAGCTATTCCTAAAACTTACCATGAGAAAGTGTTACTAGGAAATTAATGAGAATACCAAACAAAAGTTCTGATGCCAGTAAAATACAAAAACAAAAAAAATAATTGAGAATTCTACAGGTTTGGAGACATTTTTACACATGTTTAGAAACAATTTATTCTTGAATAGCACAAAGCAAGAGTTGTGGCTTTGCCAGGTGTTCTTCCCCTGCCTTTGTTATAGCAGACTATCCTTAGCAAACCACAAACTTGTAAGTTTTTAAACTGTTCATAGATGTTTAATTCTTAAATTGGCATATTATACTTGCTTTTTTTGCTTTGGACTGCAGCAGAAAGTTAATATTTGTTTGGTTGGTTTTTTTTCTTTTAAGATAAATGAAGATGTAGGCTGGTGTAAGTTAACTACTCCGGATGGGCTACAGCAGCTAATACAAATAAGTCATCCTGGAGTCTATGAAAGGTAATTTAAATTAGTTGTTCAATTTAAACAATTTAAATATAAAAATCATTCTTTATAAATCCTTTTAGATGAAGAAATAGTATTTACTGAAAATAAGCTGGTAGAGATGGACCAAACATCTAATGATAAAAACTCCATCTTATTTCTGGCAAAAATTCAAGACCTGTGTGACTCAGGGCCACTACTGCATGCTGTGATTCCATTATAACTGTTATGGCAATGTCTTTTTAGAAAAATAACTAGAGCTGCAACTTGGCATTTACTTCAGTGGATTGAAAAAGAAAAAACAAAGGCATTTGTCCTCTTTAGAGCTGATATATAGAACTGAACAGCACTTTATCCAATTTTTGCTTTATTACAGATATTGACCTCTGCCTGCAGATTATTTTCTAATCTGCATGCTGTAATTACAGCCTCATTATGGGAATTACCAGAAGTTTTCTGTGCTGTATTTTAGCAAGCAGATATTCACAAACAAAAATTAACACTTGTATACTATTCATTGCAAAACATACAGCTTTGTTATAATTTGCTATAACTGTATAGATCTAAATATGAAGAAGATTCTAGACAAAAAATGGCAAGGCAAGCTAAGGAGAATAAGCAAGATTTTGAATCATAGCTTTTTCTTTCAGATCCAGGTGTATTCCTTAGTACCTTCAGTTTTTTGCTAAAAACCAGAATTTTTTTCTCATATAAATAGCTAATTTTTTTAATTTTGTTATTAACACAGGTACATCAGAACAGCAATAGAATGGTGCAGAAGTTTGAATGAAAGGAAAGTGATTGCTGAATATCCTGCACACTCTGTAACTGAAGAAAATTGGTATTCATCTTTATTCCAAATACCTGAGTATAAATAATGTTGAAAACAAAACTCAAAAATATTATAATCTGAATTTTATATCTTGTATTTCCTAATGTTCAAAAATGAAAATTTGTTTTTAGTATGGTTTCACATTTTTCATTCAGTGGTTAAAATGTTCAGTGAGTTTCAAGTGAAGGTTGTTGTATTGAGCTTTGCCTGTCTTAAAAATCAGAATTATAGTGACTTTGTCAAAGGACAGGTAATGTTACAATGCAATGAAAAGATATCAGACTAAGAAAAATGGCTTTTAACAGAACATCAAGTGTCTAAAACAGTACTTTGAACTGCCTAATGACATATTGTATCTCTTGCTGATGTATTTGTCCTTTTAAATATATGCTACTTACCAAAAATCTACTGACATCATCTGCAAACATTGGGATATTAAAAATTGAAATTTTTTATAATTGAATCAATTGCAATTGCTAATTGAAATCAATTGCAGTTGCACTTGTTACTTAAATTATAGCAGATTCAGCTGATGCATTTTATAGTATCAGCTATATTATATTTATATCATTTTATAGCTGATGAAATGAAAATTCTATCTATATTTATACACACTTACAGCAAAGAAACTATTCTCAGAGCAGAGACCAAGTTTTTGGAAACACAAATGATTGACAAATGTCAGCCATTGAATAGTGGTATCAAAGACAGAGATTTTGCTAATCTAATTCTCAGTATTGCTGGAAACTGTTAAAAATTAAAATTTGAAGTAGAAAATATCCTTGAGAAGTAACCTTTTTTTTTTTTTTTTACAGGTCTGCTGATGCTGAGCTTGAAAAAATACAGAGATTTAATTGTATCCTTTTAAAAGCTGTAAAGATTTTTTTCACTTTTATATTCAGCTGTTTATCTGCATGTTCAAATCTGCAGTTTAGATCATCAAAGGCTCTCTATCCTGATCTTCTTTTACTTCTCATTTTTTAAAACAACCTCATTTTCTTTCTTATCTTTTTTTGTTTTATCACTTATTTTTGGTAAAGATTTTTTAAAAACCCCAAAAACAGTGTTGAAGTACAAAACTAAAATGAAAAGTCACCAGAAAGCAAGGCCCTTTGATGTGTATTGTGTCAGTTTTGCTAAGAATCATCTGCCGATCTGTTCTTGAACAGATCGAACACAAGAGGAACAACACAAGTTGCCTTTGGGCTTGTTGTTGCAGTACAGTATCTTCCTGTTTATCAGCTACCTCAGTATTGTTCTGTTGTGTTCACCCAGCTGGAAATGTGCTGAATCTGCTTAAAGCCACTATAAAACTGTCTTCAAGCCAGTGTTCAATTCTATTAGTATGAAAAGAGCATGCTGTTAAACTGAAGTGTAACACCCTTTTTCTTTTCAAAGTACCTTTTGGATAAATTGAAGTCTAAAAGGCATTTTTCTGTAAATGTTGTAGATATTTAGGTAATACAGTCCTTTTCGTTTTTTACCTGTATGTAATTACCATGCTACAAAATATAAGACTTTGCAAGGCAGAATGATGAATACAAATGCAGAGACTAATTTTTCTCTTTAGGAGGAAGAGTCTGACATTTTTTTTCTTAACAAAGTAACACTAGTTTTATTAGACAATAGCAACATTCTGAAAGGGACAGCTGCTGCAAAATCCAATCCATCGGGTATCACTGTCAGAAAAAAAGAAAACGGGGTTGAGGCAGAAGAACTCAATGAAGACTGTGTCTTGGAGGCTTTGGAAAAAACTTCTAAAGTCATTCAGGATATTGAATCTCTGCTTGCTGTTTCTGGGAGATGAAGCAGCAGTTGATGTCCTCACAGGAGCCGTCCCAGCTGTGTCTGAGGAGGCTTTGTGGGGAGAGAGGAATAAAGGCTGAAGCCAGAGGGACAAGTTGCCAGCACATTCCTGCTGAAGTCTGTCAGGTGCCAGCGTACTATCAACAGTAACACCAGCGCTATATTTGAAATAGGCAGGGAGAAAAGTTGAGATAATGGAGCACTGCTGTATAAATAGATCAGGGCTGACCTGACCATATTGCTTTTAATGTTTGAATATATGTTCAAATCAACTTAATTGATGGATCGCTGCTGAAATGACCAAGGTAGACACATGTAGTTTTCACTGTAAAAACGTGCTTTTATTCAGGTGCTTACACCAAGAAATCTTAATTACCAAATAAAATGTTTCCCACATGCTTTCTGTAGCGCTCTCTTTGAGAAAACAAGTACTAATTTGAGGGCAGAAGAAACTTCTCTGGCTCTGTGGTGTGTGACGGGTGCACCGTGTCCTTCGTGACGAGAGACTAAACGCTCATAACGGATTTCCCTGCCAGCACTTCCAGACCCCGTGTAACAGGGCGGAGGCTGCGGCCCTGACGCGGCGGCCCCTCGCCCGGCGGGCGGGGCCGGGGCGGGCCCCAGCGTGCTCCGCGGCCGCGCATGCTCCCTGCCGGCTGCGGCGCTGCGCCCGCCGCGGGGCGGCCGCGCTGCCGGGGCTGCGGGCCCTCAGCGCCGGGCCCGGCCTCCCGCTGATCCCGGCTGGGCAGGCTGATGTCCTGATGGGTTTAATTCAGTTTGTTCTTCAGCGTCTTGGTAGGATCCTGCCGCTTCCTTCTGGGCTTTTGCCCTCTCCAACCCCAAAAATGCGCTATAATTATCTGGCCTAAAGATATTTGCTAGATCACCGCATGATGCGTTGCAATTGTCTGGCTCAAAAATATTTGCATGATCACTCCAATAATGTGTTATAATTATCTGACCCAAAAATGCTGGCACTATCAATTGTTCACAGATAGGCTGGGATCTCCTTTTCCGTGAGACTATACTAAAGGTTTGAGCTGGTGTCTTAGTTCTGCTTCATGCAGCTTTAAACATATAAACTAACACCCAGTATCAAATAACAAGGGGTTTAGGAGATTATAGAATTGTAAGGAATTACAAGTCTTTTAACTTCTCGTCTAGAATGCATAATTCTGTTAGTTGGCAGGGTGGTGTTTGGTAGTGGGTTGGACTTGATGATCTCGGATGACTTGCCCAACCTATTTGATTCTGTGATCCTAACTGCATGCATTGAATTCCTTTATGTATTCACGTATCTGATAGCGTCGTGCAAAACTGGGGAGAAATTATGCAGAGTAATATTTCTAAGTGGTAATTTTAGCCATTTGATTTTTGTTCTGCTCATGCACCATGGCCTCTTAGCTGTTTTCCCAAAAGTATATTTACAGTTTTGATCTAAATATCTTCTGACAGTAATTTAAAGTGTTAACTGTGTGTTCATATAAAATTACTCGGATAATTTCCTTAAATTAAGCATATCTACAAAATTCCATTTTGAGGCTATGGACAGAGATTATGCTCAGTGTTTTGTCTCATGTAAAAAATGTCATGGGAAACCACAACTCAAAGCTGGGTTACTCTGTCAGCTGTTGTGTTTTACGTAAAACCCACATAGAACTTCCCTTCAGGATGTTAATTGTACTGACCACACAGAGGTTTATAAGCGTTTTTATGTGAATTGTTACCCACTTTTCTGTTTTAGCAAGATTGTAACTACACAAGTGCTTTCTGAGATTTATAGGTTGGAAAAATCGACACTGTGTTGTGCTATTTTGTAAAGAACCTGAAAAGCATCATTTTTCAGGAAGAAAAAAAAGTTTTAGTTTTATATGAAAATGTATAGTTTTAGATTATTTTGGTTGGCCAGAGTTTTGCCTTTTCTGGTCTGATTTCCCTCACAATCTGCAGAATAATTCTGGGAAATTCTGTTGTACCTGGGAATGTGAGTTGATTTTTACACAGGCAGCACTCATTTTTGTCTCAAAAGGAGACCGAAACAGACGTTTTAAAAAGAGCAGTTGGACATAGCTCTTGACAAAGGTTAACCTAAAGAAAGTTTTGCATCCTGCTCTTCACTCTGGCTCAAGAAACACATGCTAATACTACCCATAGCAAAAGTGTAAGCCTAACACAGAACTGACATCAACCTCTGTTCCTATATGAATTTCTAGATCTGTCTTTATCTATTCACTAAGGTCCCTAAGTGATGGGGTGGAATTTAAAAAGAGATCCCTGAATGCAACTCAAAAATATTTCATAGGGTGGGAATGTTCTAGGCACAAGAAGAAATCTATGAAAATTGATTGCTCTATCCATTGAAATGCAGTTGTGTAGAAGACTGGAACAGTTGTTTTTGGACTTTGTGTGTTACTATTTTTTAGTTACTATCATGTTCTGGTTTTATTTCTGCCCTTCTTTTGGTTTATGGCCTTTTTTTCTGCTTTCTTTTACAGAGCTTCAAAGCGTAGCTGAAGTTGCTTTTATCTTTGTTATATTTGTTTAAAAATTAATTAAATATATGTTTATTCTTTCTGGATTTTTTTTAATGTTGTTCATATTTCATGTATGCTGTTTTGCCTAATATCAGTGGTTACCGGTGCCTGGTTTGTTTCTATTTAGGATTGAACAAATGGTGTATGGTATTTCCTGCACTGGACTGGGCAGGCTGGATTCAGAAAGTACAGAGGCTCAGCCCTGAGGTATAGACCGTAGACATTTCCTACTGGAGTAAGGCACCTGTGATGGAAAAAAAAATGTTCTCCTAGTCACAGAGGAAGTTTGATTCTGATTACTGGTGTGCTTTCTAAAGGTATGTTGCTACACCACCCCTTCGCAGATTGGATTCTTACACAGCCTTTTTGGTAATTTTAAATTAAATCCAATCTGACATGATGGCCATGTAGAAGAAACATTTGTGAAGAGATTGCCATTTTTTTCCTTAGAAATAGGATTTATTCAGCAATGTCCTGTGTAGCATAAGGTCACCCACCAGAAAACAGCACTTCCATTGTTTCAGGAAATACATTGTTTCAGGAAATGTCTATACATTTCTTCTCTTTTACTTTTTAAAATGTTTTCTAAATAAATTATTCAGTGGGCTTTTTCTTTTCTTACAGAGGCTGACAGTAGTTCTGTCTTGTGGATAATTCTACAACAGACAGGAATGTAAATAACCTGGAAGAAACATTTATGTCTTGTGATATTTATAATATGTTTAAAATCATGAATTGTTGTGTGTCAGCTTAGAAAGTCTTAATACATTCAAAAAGGCCCTTCAGAATAAGAATTTACCTAATAAAGAAGGATTGTCAAGATTTAATACATTGCACAAAAATGGCAAACTCATGGGAAGTATCCATTTTTAGGCAGGATATAGGCTTTAAAACTGTCTGTATAACTTCCCAAAAAGACTAGTATAACAGCTGGGTCAGAACTTCTCTTGCGAAAAGAGGAGTTGTGAAGGTAATGTGGCAGACAATAGAAAAATCCTAAAAGTACCAGCCAACTTCTCTGCTAGAGCACATGCTGAGGAAAAGCTTAGGTAGTTTTGCTCTGTAAGGAGATGGTTTTGATTACTTTGCTTGACTAAATGGTTGTTGTCTTTGTGTTTATTATAAATAATGAAGATATTTTAGTGGATTTGGTTTCCTTAAGGTTTATTCTACATTCCAATCTCCAAACGAAACAAGGCATTTCTCAGGAAAGGTTAACAGGGGAATACTACATAAGTTAGCAAAGAATGTAAATTAAAGGAGTGGTTTGGATTATAGATTGAAAACTGAATTTTAACAGTTGTTTTATAGAGAAATCTGGGATTTTGAGCATCAGTCTCGTCTCAAGAATCCTCCAAACTTAATCTTCTTTTGTTATTACAGTGTTAAGTATTTCATTGGATTAAAGAATGTACTTAAGATCAGAAGGAATCTTGAAACACATGCAGTGTATTATCATAGATAAGTTTCAAATTATTTTGTAATATTTAAGATTTCAATAAGTGGTATTAGAGCTCTCCATGTTACTTGTGCTCGTTCTAATTAAAACAGGGCAGGTGTTTTAATTCAGAGCTGTGGTGTTCAAGTCAATAACCTAATCGAAATAAAAAATTCCCTGGGAATGTTAAATGCAAGCACTGTATTTAGGGTCTTAGTGCCCAGTTGTAGCTGTGGTAGCAAATGTTTTGTGCAAATGGATTTTCTTTGTTTAATAGTTTTCTTTCTGATCTCTGACATTTACAGAACAGCTGACGATACAAAGGACAATGCACAGTGTGTATCCTGATGATATTTTGTGTGCTGCAACATGGTTCTTGTCATGGCATCTGAGACTGAAAAGGCCCACGCTCTTCTCCAGACTTTCAGCACAGCATCAGTTATTTCCAGTCTAGGTTTGGGGATATTCTGCTTTGTAGCAGACAGACTCCTGCAGTTTTCCTTCATTCAGCAAAATGACTGGCTCCGAGCCTTATCTGATAATGCAGTGCATGGTATACTGGGGATGTGGTCCTGGGCGATAGTGATTGGACTCAGGAAAAAAAGTGACTTCACTGAGGTCACTCTGGCTGGTTTCCTTGCCTCTGTCATTGATGTGGACCACTTCTTTCTTGCTGGATCTCTGTCATTAAAGGTAAGTCAACAGATCAGTAACTTGTTAATTTATCACTGTTTATGTTGTTGTTCTTCTACAATGTCCTAGACAAAAAATCCATTGATAATTTAATAAAATACATTTCATAGATATACAGGAGTTATGTTTTTATGCAGTTATTACAAATTTAAAAGCCATAAAAATATTTTACATCTAGTGTTCAGTTTCTGCTTCTTAGAAAGGAAAAAAGAGAGTTTTGCACATGTACATGCTATTCTACATATATCATGTAGTTGCTTTGTTATCCAGCTTAAGGAGTGCAGTGCTGCCTTGCACACTTTTTTGGATGAGGTGGATTATTCCACTTCTCTTTACAGTAAGGGTTAGAAATATCTGAAATGTGGGGTAGAAATATCAGAAACATAAATGATAGAGCTTCTGTTTAATTTAATTGAGTCATTATGAGTAATACATTGGTTTTAGCCAGCTCTAGGTATTTCTCCTACAAACAAGCTATATGTGAGCTGTCACATTTAAAAAGGCAGTCTGACTTGCATTTAAATACATTTCATTGAGAAAAAAAAATAAAAGCCCAAACCAAAAAATAGTAGGAAAGCAAGTATCAGCTTATTAATAAAATTAAAAGGTGAATTGGCTCCTCTAAAGAAGTGAATGGATTATCATCTATTTGCAGAACTGCTTGTTAGGACAGAGTTTCTCAATAAGATTATTCTCTAATCTTACTGAGAATATGGCACTCTTTTCCAGTAGTTTTCTTCCTCTAGTTTGCTGGGAAGGGAAGGAAATCCTGTTTTTTATATTCATGTAAGTAAAGAATAACAAAGGTTTATCAATTTTTAAAAATATTTAGGTGACAGCTAAGTGCAAGAGGCAAATATTGCTTTTAGCTGAGATGTAAAAATCAGACTTACAGTGGAAAAATAGTTTTTGTTTACGTACAGTATCACTATTTATTGTAGAGAAAAGATGCCTCTTATTTATGCATTTGGTCAGTTTTCCCCTCTTGGCTTTACCAATGCTGAGGAGAAAGGGAAGAACTGGGTCCCTCAACATGCTGGCCACATTCCCAGTGCAGTCCAGGATACCACTGACCACCATTTTGCTGCATGGACAGCTGGGCTCCGGCATATCCTGGTCCCTGGCATCATTCTCCCCTAAGCAACCCCTAGTTCTCCCCTTTTCTGTGCTTCTTATATGTGGAAATGCTGTACAATTATAAGACTATGTAAAGAAAAGGAAAGTTAGCTTGGTTGATTAATGGATCATATAATATTATTACTGAATAACAATATAGCATAGGATTTATCTACTCCTTATCTCTAATTATTCTCATCTGTTTTTTCTTATTTTAAAATCAGCGAATGCAAGTTAATGAATGGCTAGCTATTAGAAAGCATCAAAATTTTAACGCTGCTTTTTCATGCATTTGAGATGATTATTAGTGTTTTTCTCAATTACAACCGCTAGATGTCACACCTCACCGATGTCAGTTTGAGAAGTGGACTGTTGAATTGTGTTATGGAACTGGGAGGTGACCTGCCACTTGGTAGTGAGGCAAGGTTAAATATCCTTACACCTTCCATGATGGGGAACGTTTATGTAGCTTAGCCTATCCCTACTATGTGAAACCAAGTAAATTTTTGTAATTTTGTGACTTAATTTCTTCTTGTGTTGTTTTAGTTCCCAAGCAGATAGCAGTTCATTTTCTAACTGCTGATGACAGTTAGATGTAGTTCTCTTGTTGTTTAAGTTTTTTTTTTTTTTTTTTTTTTTTTTTATAAAATATTTTTTTTTTTTTTTTTTTTTATTTTTTTTTTTTTTTTTTAGCAAAAGACAGCTGATTTCTGTGCTCTCCCCCAAAATGTTTTTCAAATCAGCAGCACAAAACATTCCATATATTAAGTGGGCTAATAAAGGAAATAATCTGGTGTAGGTCTCTTGACTCTTAGAGCAAAAGCATCATTAAAATTTGCAAAGCCAATGTGCTTTGCAAAGGCTCCCTTCTCAACTAAATTACTTTAAAAAAAAAATCTTAAGGAAATAAATTTATGTTTTCTAAATCTCATACTATTTTTCCTCTCTCCTATGTATTGCATTTTTGCCTAAATTACCTCTAAAGGGTCCAGTCCAAAACCATCAGTAGTATTTTAGGTGAGACTCCATTTGAGGTAAATACTATAGTTTAATTCCTTTCAATGGCACAAATATACAATGCTTCTGTCCTATTAAAAAAGAATCATAATCTGTTACAGGTTTTTTCTTCTTGTAGTTCCATCAGAGTCCCTTTGGTTTGTGATGTAACGTAATCCCCATAAACCTTTCTTCTTTGGCCAGATAGATCTGATTGCAATATGTAATTTTTCTTTCGTTGGCTTAATATGATGTGCCTGTCAGTTTCTTGGCATAATTTCAAGCTGTCACCTATATTATTTATTGCTTCATGGAATACTTTTTCACTACATATTTGGTAGTTACAGTCCCATTCTTTATCTTTAAATTGCATGGTTGAGAGTAACTGCTTTAAGAGACTAACATGTTTACTGCTTTTGCAACACATTACTAAATAACTAATAAATTAATAAGTCTAATTAACCAACCACACCACTATTGCTAATTTGTACCAATAGTATATTTCACACTACTGTACACAATCACCTATAAAGCTCATCATTATCACTTTTAAATCTGATGACGAGTTATTTTTTCTGGAGTAATCTTTCTATGCAGCACAAGGCGGTGCTGCCTTCTACCTCCAATTGCTACCTTCACACTACTCCAGTCACCTACTTCTATTCCTGCTGATGCCACTCAGCACTTGGATTGTTTGGCCATTGGTCTGTTTTTCATGGTTATCATTATTTTTCTGCAGTATTCAGGGTAAATAGTCACCTGTGGTATTTGTATATTTGCTCTGATAAATACTTGTGTACTGAGTACCACGTGATCTGACCTTTTGCCCACATTATTTTTGCAACAAGTATGAAGTCTACAATGACTCCACTACTTGGAATTTGTAGTTCTTTGTGCTCCACGTGGTTTTCACTGTGCACACAAGTACAGAAGAACCTGTCTCACTGATTACTCCAAAGATGGTAGTTCCTGCAGCCTGTTGTCAGTCAGGAGTGCTGGTATGACATGATGGGCTGCTCCCAGACTCCACCAGGATTGTAACCCAGACACTCACGTTGCAGAACAGACACACAGAAGTTGCTGTCTTGTTGCTAAAGACTCACCAAATTTTAGAAGCGTAGAACATGTAGTCAGTGGCAAATATACATAACACTGCTGGGAAATGTGCCACCCCTGATTAATCTGGGCCATACAGAAGCATTTCTGGAACTAGAGATTAAGCTTTGCACAAGCACAATTGATGTAGCATTGGATATGTTACTATATTGTTAATATTACTATTATATATTACATTGAATATGTTACTATGAACTAAAGACTTTGGGCTTGTGAAGCATCTTGGAGTATCAGTGAGGGAGCATCTGTTGTTACATAACATCCATGGTGTCACCATGAGCATTAAAGCAGATAATTTGCGTGGGTTCTTCTGCGTGCAATTATTGTCTCCTGTCTCCAGCTGCTCATTGTAGTGAAAGAGGCTGGAGGAGCAGCAACTGCAAGATGATCTTGCATCTGATTGCATATATAGGCAAATTGAAAAGGTCATTTACAAATAAATTCTGTTTGCTACTTTTTCCAGCAAGTTTAACATGGAAAAGGCTTGATTTTCTGGTATTTTGCAGTGATTTTTTTGGTTTGTTTGTTGTTGTTTCTTTGGTTTTTTGTGGGTTTTGGAGTTTTTTTAAAGATCTGGTGCTTTCTAAAGGCAAACAAGTTTGCCTGTTAGGAGAAAGAGAGTATAGCAGCTTATATTAGCAAACAGAACTACCTGTCAGTCTTCAGGGCTTGTCAACTCAAGGATGTAAGTTCCTTTAGTCACAGAATGTAAAACAGGAAACAGACTGTTCTCTCAGACCTTGAACAACAGCATATCAGAAGCTTGATGGCTGTACTGCAGTTACAGATTAGGACCTTCTCTTGCTGAAATTGAATACTCAGGTTTGCTATATTAACAACCCTGCCATCTGAAATTTATATGGAAAGAATTTAAGCATCACCTTGGCACCAATATGATAAACTGAGTACATTAGTAACATTAAAATTTTCCTTACTCACTGTGTTGCTGTTGGCATCTAATCTTAATAGGCCAGAGGAAAAAAACTAATTTGGACCTTAGTATTGCTTTTTTTTTTTTTCAAAATGCAGAAGTAGAGGCCAGTCAATAGATTATATGCCAAAACATACCACTATTCCGTTTTTTTCAAAATTAAGTTAGTATGTACTTTTGAGCCTCTTATTGACAGTTAGAAAAATCAGATTCTTTGTAAGGCAGGTGATAAACAGTTTCACCATCACAAGATTATTCTACCTTAATCCATGAACGATCTGCTTATGTGAAAGAGATCTGAAGTTGAAGAAAATACATCTTTTGCTCCAACTTAAAGGAAATGGGTCCACAACATTAAGAGTTAAAAATTGTTGCATTTGTGAGCTTTTAAATCCCATTACCTGATCAGGAGTCACGGACAATCATGTGGTGGGAAGCTAATAGAACAAAGCTTCCTGCAAGCCTTTTAAGGTTGTGGTTTAAAGCATGACCTGTTGTATTTCAAGGTAGCCCATAACTTCCCATCTCTAATCAGTTAATAAACTGGCTAAGGCAACATCAGTTTCCTTGCAGAGACCATAATGTTCCATGCAGTTATCTAAATTATGCATGAACGTGATAAACCTATTCCAGAGTCCCACTGTCCGGCCCTCTTGCGGTTGAATCCTGCAAAGAGTAATACATCTGAAGAATGTACAGGTTAGAGATACTTTGTTTGCCTTCTGCAGTAGGTGCAGTGAGGGATGTGTCCAACCCAGCAAAGATACACTGTCACCTTATATCTGTGGGGCCTTGTTACAGGTTTTCTGAGTGTCCCCCAATAATGAATTGAGCCAAGGAATATCACATCAGCACTTCTGTGGACCTTCTGGTAGCGTGCTGTTGTTTCTCCTGCACTTACAGATACAATAATCTACTTATTTGTCAAACAGAAATCCAAAATACCATTACATGGGTATTTTTGAATGGGTTTGAATTGTGTTGTTGCTAATGAGTATAAGCACAGAATACCTTCTCAGACATGTATATTCAATAGACATTATCACTTCTTAAAATGGCTAAATCTAATCTCACTAGCTAGATATTCACCTTACTAAAACCAAATATCAAGCTTTTAACTGAGTTACTGTTAAACAAGTTGTTGATATAAAACCCCAGTCACAAATGTTTCAGATCTTGGTTTATGAACTTTGTTTTGCCTGTCTATGAAGAATACTGTCTCAAGGTGATCAAAATACATGTAACTTTGCCAATATTTTTGTCCTATTGAAAATTACTTTTGTGTTTTAAACACTGTGCAACTAAACTAACTTTACAGGTTACAACTGTAGTCAAATACAAGATGTATTTTTTGGGAGTAAATGCCATTAAAGCACATGATTTATTTCAAGTAAAACATACTAAATATTTCAAGTGTATTGCGTGGTTGTTTTCCTTTTAATTGTCTTGAAATTAAATACATATAATCAGTGCAGCAGATTATACAAGTTCCTTGGTACCACCTGACTATGACAAACAGGATTCCTCATCCCTCTCCCTTCCTGTTTTGCTGATGATAGTATGTAGTAAGATGCATGATTCGTATCATACAGTAGAGCCTGGGCAGCAGACAACTCTCATGCATAAAATTGGCTTTAAATTAAGTGCAATGGAAAGGAACAGTATGTTTTTCTTTCTGCTTCCACTTAAGTCACCTGACAATGCATCTCTAAACACTCATGAAACTTTTCTTCTCTTGTCACTGTTGTAGCCATTGGTTGTAATATTTTTCTCTTCTTCAGGCTGCTCTGACTCTTCCACGGAGACCACTTCTTCATTGTTCTACTGTGATTCCTGTGGTGGCTCTGACATTAAAGTTTATCATGCAGCTTTTCAGGCTTAAGGACTCGTGGTGCTTTCTTCCATGGATGTTGTTCATATCCTGGACTTCTCATCATGTCCGTGACGGGGTTCGTCATGGCCTCTGGATCTGCCCGTTTGGAAAAACTCCTCCCTTGCCATATTGGCTGTATGTGGCAATTACAGCATCTTTACCTCATCTGTGTTCATTTATTATGTATTTAACGGGCACTAGAGAATTAATGTCCATAAAACATGGAATCCGCATTGATGTATAGGAATAATGGCTTTTTAAGGTTGTTTGTGCTAGCACATGGAATGACCTGCCTGTCTGCCACTGAAGGGTTTCTTTGTGTTTCCTACACCTTCTGAATTAGGCATTTTAAGGTTGTGGAACCAATTACAGCTCTTGTGTCAATTCCTTGTGGCCATAGAACCTATTTAGTGAATGATAATAATTTTATATGTGTACATTTTCCTTGTACAGTGTGTGGTCTTCCATGATAGTTCAGGTATAGTGAGCTGATTATAACTTACTTAGTTCTTCTCTGTAGTAATTACATTACATTTTACTGTTATGGTGCCATTCATTTGATCACCATTCACTTTGGATTTGTATCCTGCCTCTGGAGAATACATTTCATCCAGATAGTATTTGTATAGCACTTTAAAAATGTGAAGTTCTATATAAATGCTAGGTATTAATAATGTATGGCAATTCTAAAAAAAAAATCCCTCAGCCTTTCAAATATATTAATATGTTAGCAGTCCTGCTAGATTCTTGTATTCAACCATTTTAAAAGAAATACCACATGTATTTCACACTATCTATCCACACCTCTTTGAACCTGTAATCACAGAGTATTTTACTAAATTGTATGTCTCCCTGTAGTTGCATGTTACTAAATTTGCAGATAATTACTAGCTTCACAATTAGAAAGGAGTAGACAGTTCAGTTATAGTATTATGGTGTGTTGGCCAAATTGTTTAATTTTTTAAAATACACTAATTATGAATACTGTTTAATTTGGAACCAAGGAATTTTAGTAAATATTTAAGAATCATGTGAAGATTCAGGGAGACACAAGAAAATAAAAATTGCTTGTAACACAGGTTTGCTTAAAGACATTACTACTCAGTAAAGCATTTTCTATTAAGTGCAATATCATCCTCATAAGTGTAAAATAAAATGCATTGTTATTATTATTATTAGTGCTGTTATAATACAGAAATATAAATTTCCTCATAAAGAAGATCCATAAGGAAAGTGTTATTATGCTGCAGTTTATGAGGTAGTAATTTGCACTATGGACTATTCAGTTTTCATTTATAGACATCTCTCAGAAAGAGTCACAAATTAAAAGTTGTCTGGTCTTGTCTAACTAGACAAGATTGTCTAGACTTGTGTAGTTTATGATGTACTGGCTGAGAATGTCTATAAATAATTTTTAAATTTTTTATTCACTGCCCATTAAAGAAAGGGGCCTTAACTACTCCAGCTTGTGATGAATAGCTGTCAAAGGGGATCATTTTTATGGAACTGCATGTATAAGGTAGCATGTGTTTAACTTAGGTTACCAAGAGGTGTAAGGGTTTACATGATGTGTACATTTACATTATTAAATGTATATTAGAATAAAGTGTAAAAAAAAAAGTATTAAATGACATGCCTGTTGTAATGAGTACCAGAAACTTTCTTTGGCTGCAGAATACTTAAGGCTCTTTGCAGCATTCTATGCTAATCATGGAAAATGTTGCACCTCTTTAAGGTGTGTCTTTATGCCAGAAGAATAATCCCAGTCCTGTCTGTTCTTCATGTTATAAATGTATGCCAACACAAACTTGCCTGATAGTACAGTGGGCCTGTCTAGCCTTTATTATAAAATTAATATAAGGTTTCTTTGTTGGAAAGATTGAAAGAGCAAAACATTCCTTAGAGAGTTATTCTCATGCTGTGGATTTCTGTCCTTTAGAGTTTTCCAGAAATAGCATAAGAAGTGTCCTCCTTTAGAGCCCTCAGATCGAAATTGGTTTTCATCCAAAGGCATGATGGTTTACTAGAGGAGCATTGCTCACTCATTTACTTCTATCCTGTATGTTAAACTGCATTATTGGCTACAGAATGCCAATAATGAATAAATTTTGTGCAAGGGGTTAACACTGAAGCCCATGTAGAAAATTTTCTGTATTCTTGTTTCATGGTATAATATTTATATAATTTTGTGCTTTATCTAGATTATTGGCAAAGGGAAATGTATATAGGAACAACGTATAGAATTACACTTTCTCACTTTCAGACTGTAGCTGTAGCATTTCTGGAAACTGTATGTCTACCCACAGTCCTTAAGATCAGTACTCTACTGTTCTAGTTATGTTTAAGGACCAGTTAATGGGTACATCTTCAGTAGTTTAAAACTATGTATTTTCATTCTCATTATGTCTAGATCTAGACACAGCAATAGGTGAACCCCAGTCAGACACATGTTGGGGAAAGTAGCAAGTACTTTGTACCATGACTTCTTTCCCTGCAGATAGACATGGCAGTCTCACACCTCAACCTGACATTTAGGCAGCCTTAGCTGAGGCCATCAGCAGCTTTTCAAGGTAAACTGACACGTGGCATGTACTGCTGTAATTTGTGGGTGCCAGGGTAGAGTACAAAGGGGAAGTTAGGTGTTTCAGCCTGTGTGTTCTGGGCAGAGTGGGAGCTACAGAGATTATAGAGAAGCCCCCCCTCGTTGAGTCACAAGGCACAGACAGTGCCCTCTTGCTTTCTAAACTCCTCATAGAGGCCTCTGGGTGCAGCTGGATCCAGCCTTAGCCCAGACCCTGTCAGTGGTTTATGCTGATAGATTAATTGAACCTTTTCACAGCTTTGTCCCACAGGATTAAGGATGACAAACCAGAAGTACCTACATAAAAATAAATTAGAGTTATTATTAGAGTTATAACTTACTATGATAATGATGAGACTAAAAGATCTTAATCAGAATTATTTACTACACAGTGTAGGTAGCTATAACTACTAGTCTAGTTCAGTCCACTATTTTTGAAGCAATATTGAAGCAATTATATCCAAGGGAGCAAAAGAAATTATGAAGTAGAGATTGATTTTACTCACCCATACCAATGACTGTGGGCAAATCTCTTTCTTTCAGCTTTGAGGTGTAACCTTGAATCAAATCCCAATTCAAGGAAGGAATCTCCAGAAAAATTGTTGGAAGACCCTCCCCACTAATTAATAAATGGGAAGATTTCCAGGCCAGCTGTGTCAGTTCAACATCTTCAGATAAATTAGCAGTACTAATAGTACCACTTGTTTGTTGCTTTATCCAGTACTTTACCAGGTCTGCCACAGCTTCACCTTTCTGTCAAGAGTGTTTAGCTCTGGGATTGATAAATCAGGCTGGTTTCAGCATTATTGAGCACCAAAAGCACCAGGACAACCCCCTCCTCAAATCACAGTTGATAACTTTGCAAACAGGGCATTATTCCTGCTGCTTTACTGCCATCCAGGCAGAGCATCCTGCTACACCTCCTTACCCACCACCTGCCTGCTACAGGTAAATTGCCCAACAATTCCTTATCAGTGTTTCATGTGCATTTCAAATTCACTGATGTTTCCAGCTATGCATCAACACCATGTCTAGCAAAACCATAACAAAAATAAATCAAGATACTAAAAGTATAATGACTTTGTGCTTTACTGCATGCATTACTGTAACAGGTAAGTGTAAAATACAAAAAGCAGGTGAATTGCACAAAACATGGCTTGCCAAGTCAAGCTAATGATGTTGTGCACAATGTATGATACATAGATATGTATGATACATATCACTAAAATGTTAGTTTTTTCAGCGATTCTTTTAATAAACCAATCTAAAAATTTTCCATGTATTTTCAAGTTGAACTTAAAAAGTTGAACAAAGTTTTGGGTTTTTGTGACTTACTTTGTTAGAACTGCGTGGTTTATTTTTTCTTGCTTTGATGGATTTTTGCTGTAAAAAATAGGTACTAATAGCCCAAGTTAAAGAAAGATGTTAGACTGTTTCTTCTCCCCAGTTGTGGAGAAATAAGATAAAATTCCTCCTAATTGCCTAGTGGCCTTAACAGAATGTGTGAACATGTTTTCTATAGCTTTGTATTCTACTTTAAAATCAAATCTGTATTTTCACCTAATTGTTGGTATCACTTTTTACTACAGTGCAGTATATATTATATCATGTGCCCTTAATTAGATATTGGTAAGCGAATTACTCATAATTGATCTCATGTCCCAAGGAAAATGATGCTAAGTATATTGACTTTCTCCGCTAATGGAAATAAAGTTCCACAAAGAGAGAGAAGGGGTTAAAACTCAGTCTGAAGGACATATTAGTACACAGTTAATTTTGGACACATGGTTTTTTTCCATTACTGTTAGGATGAAGCTAAGTGATGAAATGCATCAGAAGAGTACATGTCTGTTTGTGTAATTGAGCCAATCTATATTCTGTCAATTATATAAATTTATTCAGGACAGAAGAAATTTTGAGCCCACAAACTAAGTTTTATTTCCCTGTTACAGGCAGACCTTGCATTGAAGCAAAAGAAGAGCTGTCAAATGGAAGTACCCTTTGTGTTCATCACAAAGCAGGTGCCTTCAGTTCGTTCTTAAAATTTCCCAAATTTTACACTCTCTGCATTGAATTTTTGAATTTATATTTTCAAATTGTATATTTGAATGCTGTATTGTAGAATGGTTTCCTCTTATTTAAACATTCTGTTAAACAGTACTTGTGTTTTTGTATATGCATATATATATACATTTATGTATATGTAAATATATATATCACACACTGATATATATATTTATCCTTCCTTCTGTGTTCATATAATGTAGGGTGAGCTGCGCTCCAGAACGGTTTAGGTGAATGGAGAGGAGAGATCTCTGGAGGCTGCTCTTGGGATATCAGGTTTATTAGGGATGCAGAAAGGTCCTGCTTGGAGCTGCCAGACACAGCACGTGGCGAGGCTTGAGGGGATGGGGGAGAGGAGAGGCAAAAGGATGCTCTAGGACAGGGTGGAGGTCCTAAGAGGGGGAAGATCCAAGAGGAGGGGAAGTTCCAAGAGGCTGTGTGACCCCTCGGAGCCCCTCAGGGGGCTTCAAGGTGGGCTGGAACAAGGCTCAGGCCAATGGGGTTACAGGCACTTGATGTCTTAGGGGAGGGTACAGGTGCAGGGTGAACCATACATTTTGGGGGGTGAGATGGAACAGTCCACTTGACCCCTGGACCCATCCGTAGGCAAGGGCATTGTCCAGCCAGCAGGGAGGACCATTCTCATCCTGGCTGTATTATTTATAAATTATTATATTTACCCATCCTTCCCAACAATATAGTAATTTTCCTTTTGTTTAGCCAATTTTGTATTGGCTTTTGCTGGAATGAGGAGAAGTGTTTGTCTCAGTGCCTGGGGAAAACAAGCCATACTACAACTTAGCAGAAACATTTTAGTGCAAGGAAATCTTCAGAATATTGAAAACAAGAAAAGAGATTATACTGTCCTTTTGATGGAAGCATTCAGTAGGTTTGTAGGCACTTCTTGAAAACATTTGTTTAATCAAAAGTAATAGACTGAAAACATTTGTCTTAGTAAATATAAGTGAACAATCTGCATGAAATTGGATTTTTATAATGAAACTGTTACAGGGATAATTGGCTGAGTTGCTGTTACTATATCCACCACAGAAATAACTCCTTTGGCCTAGGAATATTAGTAATATCCCTGGAGCTTTTCTCATGTTGCCAAAGGAATTTAGTCTTACTTTGATCTCATTTTTCCATTTAAAAATTAAATTGAGCAAGGGTTTCTTACCTGGTGTGGGGTAATTTTCTTAAACAGCTGTCCAGTCATTCACATCAGTTTTTACAAATGAGCCAAAGAAGCTCAGTACAGTAACTGTGCAAAATAAATTAAAGGTAGTGGTCATAATATGGACATAAGGAGTTTAGAAAGTAGAATGCTTCTAGTTTCACATTTCCATTCAAATTGCTGATTATCAAAACCACCTCCTTTTTATGTAATACTGCCAGCAATTTAGAAGTAAAGTTTGAGATGACTGCTCTAAAAATTTGAGGTTTTTCTGGGCCAAGTGAATACCATAAGATTCGAGTAGTAAGGCTTAATGAATGTATTTCCAACAAAATCATCTGTGTTATCTTGTTCATGTAGCTGTATACAATATGTAGATACAAACACTCAGTTATTTCCTGGTCTTTTTGTGGAAGTATGGTTGTGGTTTGGAGAGAAAATGCTCTAGCTAGCATTACTTTTTGTTTCATTAGTCCTTGTGGAAATAAATCTTCCCTTCTATTTCATATGTTTTGTTAAGGTGAAAGTTTGAGCGCTTTGTCACTGTCTTCTGTGTGAGTATTCTGTATGCCTTGCACAACATAAATAAGCAAAGCAGAGACACTCAGAACTTTAAAAATGTGTGCACATGATTTATTTGTATTTTTCCCCCATGGTGAAAAATAGTTCCACATGCTTTAGCATCATGCATCTTGCATTTAAATATCTGTATAAATGTTGACCAAATGGCATTTCTAGTAATTTTATATGGCTGCAGAGACACTGTTAGTGTTTCATGTGCTCTCCTGGTGCTTGACTTAACTCAGGTTGGATTATAAGCATGATCCTACTGCCTCAAGTGCACCAGATTGCTCAGCTGGGTGTAGCAAATGTAAGTGGTAGACATCTGTCTGGTAGTAAACAATCATAGAGACCCTTTCTATTCAGTGTGTGACTGCTCAGTCTATTTGGTGGTGCTTAAAATATGATTTATATCTTCCTAAGAAAGATGTATGCTTCTGGTGTACTGAATTGCCTTCAAGTCATCACAGATTGTTCTAACTAGATGGTACATTAATATCATTGGGATTGTAGATTGGGCTTGTCTTCCTATCCTTCATGTGATTTCCCCTTGCTGGAGAAGAAAAATGTTTCTTCAAGAACTATATCCAGGTGTTCTTTGATGTGTAACATAATAATGTAAACATTAAAAAGTGAAACAACTAGAGGCAGTTCTCAAGAAGCATTGATGCTATAGTTACTTCTGGACTAGCATATTTCAGTAAAGGGATGACCAGCTTTTTAAAATTAGTTTTGACTTTAAAAATGCAGATGAGACATTTATTGTAAAGTCAGATAATTTTGTGAACATCTGTCCAAATACAGGAGTGTCTCTTTGAAAGATTTCACAGTTTCAGTGAGAATATTTATCATGGCTGAAGTTTCTAGTGCTAAATCTTTGCTTCAGTTTACTATTTGTTCTAGATTCAGCGTATAGAGACTTAGGCTAGGAACTGTTAAAAGTTTAATCTGTTAAAAGTTTGCACCTTTTTCTCCCTTGAAACTTGACACAGAAGAGGCTCTGTTTAAGTTTACTAAAGTAGAGCTAGTATTAGGTGGTCTAGCTTGCAGTCTCTGTGGTAATATAGAAAAGCTGACCACCTGATATTGTCATGATATCCATTTATTGCAGTTAGAAACTCCTGCTACTGCTCTGCAGCACTGCCAGGGAGGTGTGGGCTGTATTTGCTGCTGCCATCTGCAGACTCAGTGCAAAGAATGCTGCAATGTTAGTTAAGGGAAACCATGGCTTGAGTATATGCTTTATGGGGCTTCAAGCTTCAGTGGTTTCTGTGAGTGTTAAAACCTGCTTCTATTACAAAGAAAATAATGAGTTTCAAAAAAAGAGGGGTTTTTTCCCCAATGAATTTCAGCCACTGAAAGTCTTGTTGGATGATCGAATTTCTTGAAAACTCATTTCAGATAAGAAAACCAGTTTGGCAGGTACTTGATTTACAAGTATATGCCTGCTGTCTTTTTCAAAGTAAGGAATGTTGGCACATTTCTGTATTTCTCTGTTGCCTGGATTAGCTTTGCAGAAAAGGAGGTTTTCTTAGTCACCAAGTGTGAGCATTTCCCCTCTTTAGTGAGCAGATAGAAAGCTTTAAAAGTGTTGAGGACAGCTCTTTTTGCCTTTGGCACATATTCACAAGCATTCACCTGTCATGGTTATGAAAGGTATTCAACAAAAGATGGAAAACGCCTTGGACTAAGCATGCACTGAATACTTAATGAGAATGTGTCCAAACTGCTCACATAATACACTGTAGGTGGATGTCCTCTGCAAGAAAGTTAACTGATAGTGTGAAAGAGTCTATTGGGAAACAAAGCATTGAAGAGAGAACTGCTTTGCTCTGGCTTTTTTCTTCACCCAGTTGTTCTACCTCCCTGCCTTGCAGGAGGACTACCCTTTGAGTGGGCTTGTTCTCATTGCTACACAGGGTGCACAAATACCAACCTTATTTAAAAGAGGAAAGGTTTCAAATGCACAGGGGATGATGAGTTGCCTGATGGTAGCAGAATGCTCTGTTCTTCAGTTGGTGGTAGGTGATACCAAGAGGGGGCGGGGGAAGCACCTCTCAAAACCATTACTATTGATTGAAGATAGAGAAAAAATTATTTCCCTTGCTCTGGTGGTATTTCAGGGAACTTGGTAGAAGTTACTGCTGGAGACAGAAGCTTTATGTTTCAGTTGAGATTCCATACTGACATAATTACATCTACAGTGGTAATAAACACTGATGTTCTCAGTGTAATGAGGACAGCTTCTACTAAAAATTTCCAAGTTTGTGCTATATCTAGACTTGTAAAAAAAAAAAAAAAAAGGCAACAGAATGCTTTGCTTTGGAGATGTTGTTTGAAAACATTCACATCCTGCCATATTTACAAAGGGTGTTTGCTGTTTCTGCTTTCTATCCCAAAGTTAACCATACTTGCCAGCCTTTAGCTGCTCCACACAGAAGGCAAGAACATGTAGAGTTAAATATAGAAGAAAATTTGGTTACCAGTGTTCTGAAGGCTTTTTGCTAGGGTTTCAAAATCAAGACAATTGAGCAGAGGTGCTATGGGGCATACAGAAAATACATTTCAATGTTTTATTCCTTCATACTTTATCAAAATAAAACTTCACTGCCACTTGTTTTCTTTTCTCCAGTCCATGACTAGTCCTTTCTGTGCTCTGTCTCATGAGTCTCCTGGTGGTAGCATTTCACATTTGTCTCCAATGTGCTTTGTAAGAATTACCCAATCTCACTAGATCCCTAATTATTTTAGAGGAGGAAAAAAAGCTTATTGTCTACTATGAACAAATGGAGTAGCTGAGCCAATAAGTGTGTTCTAAGATAAATTATTTGAAGCTGAAGAAGGAGAGCTGAATGGAGAATGTTATGATGAAATGTAGTTCTTCAAGAAAAAGATTGATCTATAGTGGAGCTTGTTTCAAACTCTGTGAGGACTAGTTTGGAGTTTCATGGTTAAATGGTATGTACCAGTCACTTCCTGCTAGCTGACCTAAAGTGATGAAATAGTTTGGGTTTTAAAACTACAAAAACAGAGCAGGTTTTGCAAACAACTTTGCAGTGCCAGGAAATGGGATCTGGAATAGTGATGAGGAACTAAAATATCAAATTCACTTGCCAAAGTAAATCAACCCCATGCCCCAAGTTACTCAATAAATATAATATGCAGGACTTTTTCTATCCAAGTATTTGATGGACTGGAAACCACTGGATAATTGGAAAAAACAGGCATTGAAAGAGATTACAGGAAGGCAATGTGTTTCCTCCTTCTGGAGGGCACAGAACCACCCCATGGCAGGACAGTCAGCATTTACTTGAAAGTTTTGTCTCTTATTCCTGTTTGATTTGCAACCCGAAGCCTTTCAAAAGAGGCCAGACTCTGAAGAAGTGGACAGTTTAGGGTGGTCCATCCTTAACTAGAAACATAAAGTC